ATTGATTGCCTTCATATAATTACTTGAACATTTATTACCCCTCACCGTTTAACCTCACAGTGTCAGATTCATCATATTTATTGTTACTACTTGTATATTTCCATACCTTACATACATATATACATACATGCGTTAGATGAGATATACAGTTTGCGTCACAACCCCTTTGCAATATATTGAGGCTAATCACAAGTATTGGAACAGCTTAGTTACAACAGGTGAAAATGAACGTAGTGCAAATAATAATGCTATTGCAATGAAGTTGTTGAAGGGGTAACTAGTTATAGTTTTTTAACCATCACATCACTGATTATGAATGTTTTATCTGTGGTATATGTTTTGAGGCTATGATGAGACATCTTGCTAGTTTCAACAAGATTGTGCTGATTCAAAATATAATGGTATAGAATCGGCACAATTAGGAGTAACCATTGATATTGCTGATCTGTTTCATTCTTACATTAATAAGCTAATCAAAACGTTATTAAACATATTTTTGACATGAATATTTTAGTATTTTCACAAAGCTCGTACGTACACATAACACAAGTCTCATACATATATTACATATTACATGTACAAAAGAGTAAAGAAAGAAGAAAATGTGAAGTATTTAATGCACTTTCACACATCCTGTTATTTCCAACAGCTTTGTAGATTATTATATTGCCATTTCAGAGATAATTGCATGATTTATGTAAAATAACAGCAATTGCTCTGACCATACCTGTATTCAGTGGTCTGCTTTCCTTTGTCAGTGTCATGTTAAATCTAAAGTGAGGAACAGTCTTGCATCTGCCCATTTGTCAAGACTCGAATAGTACTAATTCTGCAGGCTGTTACAAGCTTAGCATCAGATGATTTCACATACTAATACTAATCATTGCTGCATATCGGTTTTGTATCGACTAAGTATAATAAAAAACTGGTAGCACGATTTAATTTATTTGTTCATCTCAGCACCCGTCGGAAGGAGAATGATGAGCAAGATTTGTTAATCAATATTAGCGAATCAGCATAATGTTACTCACTTGATCAGATGAATAGTCAGCTACATTGTTTCCATCGATTGTTCGACTATATTGAAGCAAATCATTACAATACAGTTTGGACAATTGTTGGAGAATATTCTTTCTTAAAGATGCAATACAAATGAAAACATATATTTTTTAATATTGTTTATTTTTTATTTTTTGATACTCCATACTCCATACGTACTCGTACATGCCAGTATTACCGGAGTCATCACATTAAGTTTACAGAATATAATCACCATGTTAATATGTATGACACTATCAAACAAATGCGTAAATTAAACCTGATTTTATTCAAGTATAATTTCGTTACGAGTATGTGACAGAAGAGAATTAATGTAAAATACTTTTCGTTATAAGGCCACCTTAAGTGAAAAAAACAGGAAACGGTAAATAGTTAGATTCAGCTTTTGTTGACATTTGAAATGAATTCGAAATAAATGTAACCCGTTACCGTGCATGTTGTTTCACGTTTAGCTCTTTCATATGCAATGATTGATATGTATTTTCACTCCAAAACGATAATTGTTTGTACTGCGTTATGTTTTAGGTCACGACGTGTATTCGTAATTGACATGCTATATTTAGGTAGAGCGCATATTGTAAGTTTTTTGCCATATAAAATTACACAGTATGTACGGCTTACACGTGATAGCGTAAATCATATCATAAATCGTATTTCTTGACCCCGCATGTTTCTACAACGCATGATTGACATCTGTGACAGGATTAGCACAATGCAATTGACCGAAAGAAACTATACAATGTATACGACATTGCGCGTTTGTTAAAGTTCACTCAAAGCCATAATCGTAATATGTATTGCATGAAAAATCTTTCCATGCATGAATTCATTTTCAGCCTGATTCCTAAATGATCTATGTTATTACTTTTTACTTTTTTAGTATTATTATTATTTTTGAGTATGAACATTTAATATAAACTTTTTCACATACCACATTGTTACAGTAGCAACAATTATTCATGGTCAATTTAGACTATCCTCTATTGTTAATTTTATTTACGCAAAAAACATTAGTTGTTATTTCAGTGTTATCAGCAGTGTTTGGTTCTAGAAACAATTTGTGATACAAATCAAAAGAGAAATGAATTCATAGAAAAACAGAAAATCCTGTGTTATAATACCATTTTCACTATCTGCTTACTGATTCCATACAAACAAATCCAACATTTAGAATCGTGATTTTTTTAAAGAACTAAAATTTTCAATATGTTATGTCGCTTCAAATTATAGAAGAACGTGGGCCGAATTAATAAATGTAGCAGCATGTGAACAGAGGTTACTCTTGTAACATATGTTGTAACATATACCTGTATGTATGTGACATGATTCTTGTCAGAGATATGAATTGTATCAGTTACATTATCTACACTGAATGTATTGGTCAATTTGAAACAGTTACCATTTATCATATATTATCACGTGTGCGAAATTTCCAGCATATATAGCCACGAAATTCCACTATGAATGTTTTTTTTTTTCAATTTACAAAATTGGCCATGGATAGTATATCCTATTTTTACTTTATCACATGCATATCCCTTCACTGTGACACAATACAAACATATCAAAAATGCAT